AAAATAACTATATGGGAACTCACGCGGTTAAATCGCAGTATACAGGCATTGCGAAGTTGTGAGCAGTCGGAACCCATGTGCTCCACATTACAAATGCATTTGGCAGTTTGCATATCCAATGCAACACAGGCTAATGTGCCTTCCTCGAAGCAGGCCGGGTATGACGGCAAATAACAGGGATTTATGGGCTTACAGCTGTTCGAATCTTGATCCCATTCCATGTCTCTCCGGCATTGACATTTGAAGTCACCCTAATAGACGAAGGCGATGACGGTTTACTTGATCGCTCTGGGATTAATGGTTATCTTTTTTTAAGTCAGTAAGTGTACAGAATGAAGGTTAGACCAAAAATGAAAATTGCAATCATTAATACCTACCTCAAACGGTCCTATCGCTTCGCAATAACTTGGCACGCTGACACCAATAATACGTTTACAGGGCTCACCATAACAGGGCGATGGACAGTATTCAATAAGTTTTGCTCTCAGCTCAGCAGCCTCGGGGTTCCCCTTGCTCAGTAGTTTGTAAAAGATAGGCCAATGCTAAAAAAGAGGCAACACACGTGGCATTCGTTGGAAGACAGTAGCAACTACAGATTATGGAAGCTTGTGGCTTTGTCCAGCTTGTCCTGAGCGTAAAGTTGTAGGAAGGAGAAGGTACGCAGCATCCACTTCAGCCTAGTCAAATTCATATGATTTTTGTGCCCAATTCTAAGACTTGCTGGCCGCATATGAGGTTGCTTTTAGCCGTTGACACAAAATTATTGTACCTCTAAACCTACCCCAACACTGGCGTTTCACCACCAATAGTCTGAACAACAAGCTTAAATCTCTCCTTTTGACAAATAAACGGTAGCTAGAAGAACACCTGTAGAGCAGAGCTGATAACTTATGTGGATAATATTACAACTGATAGGCTCTAGGGGACCACCACAGAACCGGTTATCCAACAAGATAAGAACCTGCTGGGCCACAAACTACGGAAAGGCACACCTCCAGCTCTTACGTAATATTTTCTGGCAGGAAGATTGAGCCATTAGGGATGAAAAGGAAACCAATGACCGAACCACTGACCGAAAGCGGTTGTTTTCCGCTCGCTGATCTTAAACACTCGAACGACATTCCACTCGCACACACACGTGCGCACACGCGCGTCCCCAAAACAGTCACGGCTTCCTGGGGGCCACTTGAACGTGCCTTCCCTCAACGGATGCAGCATG